AGAGAGAGAGAGAGAGAGAGAGAGAGAGAGAGATTCAACAATGACTTTTAATAACTATTACTTAAAATAACGTGAAACACGTGTCGAACACAAGTATATTTATATTATACTGTTTTCATAGCAATCGATCAAATGTTAAGTATTATTACCAAACATTATCTAAACATTTATTTAATTTTTGATTTTTATGTTTTTATTTTGTATTAAGAATTTAATTCCATATTTAAACTTGGTCAGTACACACTATATTATATTAGAACCATAATATAACTAAATCGTGATAAATTAATCTGGAGTTTTGACGAGAAAACTACAAACAAATTGTAATTGCATAACAATTAATATAATATTAATACATAATGACTATGAAATACTGTAGTTGTAAAAATCAAATAGTTTTACAATAAATAAGATAATAAGATATGAGAATATATTCAGTTATATAAAAAGATAGCAAATAAGCTACTAGATTTTACATGGAGTTTAATATTTATCAATTCTTGGTATTAAATATTAGATGGGAAGGAATCGTTGTTTTTAAGTTTATAAATTATAATGGTACATTTAATGTACTACATTAGATGGTACGTAGAGTAAAATATGAGTTTATGATTTAGTTATAAAATATTATAAAATTATTTATTTATTTTTTGTTAAATTATTTTAGAAATCAGAGTTTATATTATGAATAAAATGATTTTTAAGTAATGTACACTTGACTATAAATTATAATTCTTAGCTCATAATTACTGTGACAATTTTACTGACATTTAAAATGATTACTTAATCTATTGTAATTTGAAGGTCTGATGTTGATACATTGACGTGTTAATTACTATAGTATTGTTTTTATTAATTCTTGTTTCCATCAGTTAAGAAGAGATGTTTTATTAAATTAGACCTTAAATTATAATCGTTTACATTGTTTTTGTTAAGATATAATGAAATACATATAATATTGACTTAGTTTTCAAATTAGATTTAAAGTAGAAAATTGAATGAATGTATTGCAAGAAAGTACTCTTTAAGTGTTAAGAGATGTGTGTTTTGCGAATTGAATTGAATATAATTGTAAAATTGATTTAATAATAAAGTAATTGAATGTTTCGTTTTGTGAAACAGTGTCGACGACATCGGAATCATTCAAGAAGATGAAAGTAGAGCCCGGACTCACATCTAACTTATCGCCAACCGGTGCTCTTATGGCCGGATTGGGCTCTAATCACAGCAATTCTAGTCAGACATCGTTGACAAACTCGTCCAGTAGTGCCAACTCTAACGGCACGTGTCCGCCAACACCGGCCCGAAGACGACACCGAACGACGTTCACTCAGGAACAGCTCCAAGAACTGGAGGCCGCGTTCGCTAAAAGCCATTATCCGGATATTTATTGTCGCGAAGAATTGGCCAGAATTACGAAACTAAATGAGGCCAGAATTCAGGTAAAACTATTGCTTATGATAACTAAATAAGATATTGCATTCGGTGTCTACAATAGTCCTATACATGCTATATAAGTGTGTTTCTCTGAACGCCTTGCTTTGCACTATAGCTCGGTTTGTAAGTATGTGTTAGGAATAGAGTGTATGAGAATACAGTGATGAGACGGTTGTCCACACATAATGGCAATGTTGTTGTCGGTGCAGAACACGTCCATAAAGAGAATGTGTTAATAGAGATTGACGTGAGAGGGAAAGGAGGAAAAGGGCCAATAGGATGGCCGCAGTGTTGGCTGCGGTGCATAACATTAAGGAATATGAAATACGAACTAATTATTAAAAGTTTACTATTGAAGTGCACTAACTCTCAGATATTAACTTACATTCAGTGCATAAACTGTGAATAGAGTCACTCCATCACCAGTAATGCCTGTATTCTATCAGTTATAGGATATAATAGAGAATACAATTCATGGGCTCCTATGGCTCTGCAAACGTAATCACAAGTGAATTGCATGTATTCATGTATTGCATGAATTTTACTCTAGTTTTACATGTATTTCATAGCATGAAAGTGAGCCGAGAAAGTGGGGGTCAAACCAATTGCAGAGAGATTCTAACGCTATAAGCATGTATTCGCACCGCACTATACGCCAGATAAGAGCACCGCTGATGCTATCAAATTCAATTTGCCAGACCTAATGGACTGACGCTGTGATTAGAGCCCAATCCGGCCATAAGAGCACCGGTTGGCGATAAGTTAGATGTGAGATCTACTAATTCTATGCTCTATATGTTGTACTGTATATGTTTTATATGTTGTACATCTCAACAGTAGTCTAATGCACTTCAATCAATGGCAAATACCATCTCTACATTCTCTCTCTCTCTCTCTCTCTCTCTCTCTCCCTCTTTCCCATTCCTCCCTCTCTCCCATTCCTTCTCTTTTCCCACTTTTCTCTACTCTTTCTATTCTCTCATTTGCTTTTCTCGCAACAAAACTTATTTCTTTTTGCACACGAATTGCATGACTTGAATCCGCAATCACTACTTCATTACCAACACTACCGCTACTAACATAACATATTACAACATATTGTTGTATTCAGTGCTGAAGTTTTCTATCTATATATTACTATTATTACCACTTTTACTCCATTTCTAAGATAAACTAAAATCATCCGTATATTCAACCGTATATTTTGTTCTAATAGTGGATTACATTTTTTAGATTTGTTAAAAGTTAATAAGAATTTTGATTTACAGCATTCAATTGTAGACCATATATTAAGTTCAGTTACAAACCATTAAAATAAGAAATATATACATGTATACATGCATACCGTATGACTACTTTGTACATTATAGTACTTTTAATTTTCAAATTATTATAAAGTGACGGATTAGAAATCTGTAATTTTTATAAATCTGAATTTTATAACTAAATTAAAGTGGAATTTTTAAATTGTTGTTTTAATTTGAAACAATGCTTATTGAGGTACAAAACCGTGCCATTCATTTGTCTGCATGCTTTGTGGTTAAGAAGTAATCTTAACCCGAAAAGGTAGACCTCCGAATAAGCTATGGCACAATGACCATGGCACTTTTAGAATATGAGATAATAAGATGTTTTAAAGTATTTTATCCAAACATTATTTATATCAGATATTAAGACAGAACCACATTTAAGCACAAAACCCAAAGATTATTATCAAGATTTTTAATTAAGATGTAAATCACGCGCTTTTAAATTAAAAATATGATCGTGTGTCGTGATCTTATATAAATAATGTGACCTGCATTATGTTTTGCATTAAAATATTGTTTGTTAAAAACTTTCATTTATGTTTTAGTTGTGGTGTATTTCATATACAGTGATATTTTATATTTATTCACAATATTTTACTCAAAATGCATCTTAAATTATTAATTTATCATAACTTGTCTTATATCATACTTCTGATTTTAGCACTTTTAACACTTAAAATGTTACTGTTACTATACATTTGTCCTGGTATAATATTTAGAGATGTAAGTGGTAAAAGTTTGGGAACGTTTAGGGGTCTCAATGAACATTTAGGCTAAATTTTCAACCACTCTATATTAGCGATATCTAAAGTATATGGCACATATTTACTAAATAAATCACTAATTTATGTAATTTAAACTAACTTAACAACTATTATTAAAATATAATTTATTTAAATAATTAACATAATACTTTATTTGGTGTAAATTAATTGTTATTTTATAGTATAGACTTATAGAATTAATACTTTAAGTAAAATATTCACAGAATATATAACAGAATTTACAAGAATCTTAAAAAAATTTAAAATATTTTTAAAAATCCAAAACATTGTTCGTTGTTATCTTAAATGGAAAATGTTTAATTAGTTTGATGTTTATATATTTCACCACATTAAAAGTATATAGTTAAAAAACATGTAAAGATTTCACATTTTTATAAAAATTTAGCCTAAATGAAATAATATTGTACTACACTAAAAACTGCATAAGTAAAACCCTCTCTAACTCTCTAACAAACATCCTGATCGGTTTGACATACTGTATAGTGGTTTTAGTGTATTGAAAGATATAATTTCTACTATAAATCATCTTATTTGTTTTTTCGTACTATTTTTAAATATTCCAAGTAAATATAATAAATTTAAATTGTTTAGTAAATAGTATTATTTATGATAATATTTAACGTTATAAACAGTAAAATACAACGAAGTAATGTTTAAAGCAGCGAGGTTAAACTAATTAACATACATGTAATTTGTGAAAATTATTTCCAAAATAACAATTTAATAGCATTTTTACAATCATTTTTATGGCATATTCTTAATAATTTTACAACTTTTTTGACAGTTTACAATGTTTTTAAAACCTATTGGTAATAAACTCACAAATATGATAATAAAACATTAAAATCAAATAAAGTAGAAATTCATTGAAAACATAATGTTATTCTATAAACTAGGGTTAGGCAAGGAACCAACCAGCATCTAGAAAAACTACATTCTATGGGTGTTACTGTTTATAACGTTAACATAGGAATAAAGGTATTTGTAGTGATATCTAACGCTTAGGTTTATCAGTTGCCTAACGCTAAATTTACAATTAACTTTATAATATAAACACAATTAAATCGTTTAGGATTATATTTGTCTAAAATTTTTAGGATATAAACAACATTTCACTTTTAATAAATCTAAAATAACACCAATATCTAGGGAATCAATAAATTGTCTATATGTTTGAAAATAAATTTGTATTTATATTTTGAGTATAGATTACAATCTGGTCTTTACATAAGACACACAGGAATCTGGAGTTAAGATTAGCATAAATTTTCAAATTCTTTTACTAATTACTAATTTATATAATTGTTTCCAAACTGCATATTCAATACATTGCTAGCAATTGATAAAAAAATGTATTTTGATTTGACTTCAGGTGTGGTTTCAGAACAGAAGAGCCAAATATAGAAAACAAGAGAAACAATTACAGAAGGCATTGGCGGCGCCTTCAATGTTGCCGGCGTGTAATGGAGCGATGATGAGGAATATATATCAGGCCAGTAGTGGACAGAACGGCGCCCGAGGCTATCAATACTCCACAGCCAATGCCATCAACTCGATGGGCACAACCAGATATCCACCGATGACCACATCCTCTTACCCGCCAATGACTGGTCAACCCTTTTCTATGAGTCACTCGACGCCCGATATGTCGGTCATCAGACAAGAAGACGATAATAACTGGTATAATAAGGGCTTCTCTGCTCTGCGAATGAACACAACGCCGCACAGCCATAACCTGACGGCACCGATGCTTCAATACCAGGCCTAACAGTGACTCCACTCACAAGTGTTTCGGCAATTATTTCCAATAATTTCGATGA